AGCGTCTGGGCCCGTGAGCCATGGCCGCTGAGCCTGCGCGTCTGGAGCCTGTGCTCCGCAACGGGAGAGGCCACAGCAGTGAGAGGCCACAGCAGTGAGAGGCCCACGTACCACAAAAAAAAAAAAAAGAGTAATGTTGAAACAGCTGTAGGTGTTAGAAATATCCAGAAGTCGTCAATGATGGTTGTAGTTTATTTGTACTAATCATTCAAATGCAGTTCTGACAAGCTACTGAAATTGCGACTGGTTCAAAGAACTTCTGCATTTCTTCCAGGTTGTCCACTTTATTGACATATAGCTGTTTGTAGTAATCTCTCATGATACTTTGTATGTCTGCAGTGTCACTTGTTACTTCTCCTTTTTCATTTCTAATTCTCTTAATTCAAGTCTTCTCCCTGTTTTTCTTGATGAGTCTGGCTAATGGTTTGTCAATTTTGTCTGTCTTCTCAAAGAACCAGCTTTTAGTTTTATTGATCTTTGCTATCATTTCCTTCATTTCTTTTTCATTTATTTCTGATCTGATCTTTATGATTTCTTTCCTTCTGCTAACTTTGGGATTTTTTGGTTCTTCTTTCTTTAATTGCTTTAGGTGTAAGGTTAGGTTGTTTATTTGAGATTTTTCTTGTTTTTGAGGTAGGATTGTATTGCTATAAATTTCCCTATTAGAATTGCTTTTACTGCATCCCATAGGTCGTCATGTTTTCATTGTCATTTGTTTCTGTAGGTTTTTTTTTTTCTTTTTTTGCAGTACACTGTTGTGGCCTCTCCCGTTATGGAGCACAGGCTCCGGACTCGCAGGCTCAGCGGCCATGGCTCACGGGCCCAGCCGCTCCGCGGCATGTGGGATCTTCCCGGACCGGGGCACGAACCCCTGTCCTCTGCATCGGCAGGCGGACTCTCAACCACTGCGCCACCAGGGAAGCCCTCAAATGCTTTTAATAAATTAATGTCAGAATTAAGAAAATTTCCTAAATTTCGAGTTGGTAGTTTGTTAATTTAAAGCATGAGAGAATATGACATGTTTTAAAAAACTAAGATAGGGAATGGCAACTTATTTGTTCTATTCATTGATTTCTTTTTGAATTACCAAATCACATCCAGGCACTTCCCAGTTAATAGTATATACATGAACTGAATAGACTCTGTGACCTAGAGAGAAATTCTAATTACTGCTGATGAGTGAGTTAGGCAAGAGAGAAGAGTCCATAGAAAAGCCACCTTCAGTTTTGTCTCATGATGATAATAAGGAATACTTTGCTAAATAGTCTTCCTGTACCTTATAAAATAACCCCCAGGTGCAAATTACAAGTACTTATCTTTGGCTGTATTTCCTTAGCCAAAGACTCACCATTTCCTCAATTAAGGTCCTGTTTCTATGTACTTTTTAGAATACAGGAAATGCACAAACTGAAAGGAAGAAGAACCTGCCAGATGTAGAGTAGAAAATGCAGCGGCTGAAAATTCAGGGAATCCCAGAATCACTATATGGTTAAAAAAAAATCCTTTTTATTAATATTACATACACAAAAATGCTGACTAGAGAATTCTACAGATATATCGTAAATCCTGTGTAGTTATGTGTATACTCACCTAAATTTGTTTTAAAATTTATTAATCTTTAAATTATTCATGTTTTCTTAATTTGAACATTAATATATAAAAACTTCCTGACTGGTACATCCTAATAAAACTACAGCTTACGTTAAGTCATATAATTTTATTTGATGACCTGTTATCTCAGTCATGTTTGATCAGTGGTCATTCTTAGCTTTGCTTCAGAACTTTATAATTATAGATGGAAAAGTTTCTAAATGTGTAATAAAGTGAGATCCCAATGTCTGGGAGCACCAAACATTTCTGAGCAAACAAATACACTTGATAAGCATGAAATGTGGGTTTGGTTTCACACTGGACGTTCTGGAGCAGTATTTAAACATCATGAAGTTTGTTTAAAAGGATGGAAATTGAGCAAAGCATTGAAGCAAATCTTTTGGCTTGACCAGCATGTTTATCATTTAGTAGTTTATATAGAATATATTGTTACATATAATTTAACATTAATACAGGCAAGGTTTTGGCAACATGTATTTACATTGTTATCCCACTTATTGGCTTGGTTTCTAATTTTAGGGTGGAGATGGCCATTGTGAGGGGAAGAATTTGAAGAGGAACAGATTTTTTTTTTTGGTAGTGTCTTTTCTTTTAAATCTTAAAAATACAAATTGGCAAGTCTCCTCCGGTCTGGGGTCTGGGAGGGCCCCTCCCACTTGCCTCTCCTGATCTCCCCGGCCTCCCTCCCCCCCCCCCCCGCCACCTCCCCCTTCCCTCCTATGCCCCCAGGATCAATGCGGCCGGGGGTGGGGGGCAGGGAGGGCTAAGGGCGGGTCTTGGAGGGCAGGGGACCAGCTCAGCAGGCTCCCTGGGCCCAAGTGGGTGGGGCAATCACCCTCCACTCCTCTCCTGCTCTTCCTGGAGAGTCTCTCCCATCTGCCTCTCCTGATCTCCCCAGCCTCAGGGATGCCGATCTTGTGTGGCCTCCACTTCTCCTCCCTGCTTGGTCCCCCTACATCCTACCGGTTCACTCTGGGCTTCCTCCCATCTTCTTGAGGGTCAGAGTCCCCTACCAGCGGCCAGCAGGAGCCCTAGTTGTGGGGAGACACTATGTGTCTTCCCACACTGCCATCTTGACTCCTCCCCCTGCCTGAGTATTCTTAATAAAGCATAAATCAGATGATGTCATTGCTCTGCTCAAAACCCCCCATGCTTCCTACTTCACACAAAGTAAAAACGCAGACATTACAATAACCTCCACGACCCTAAACAGTATGCCTCTACCCTCTCTTTGACGCTATTTGCTACTTCTCTTCTCTTGCTCATTCTGTTCCAGGCCCACTGGCCTCCTTGCTGTTCCTGAGTATGCTTCTGCCTCAGAACCTTTGTTTTTGCTGTTTCCTCTGCTGAGAAATATCTTTCCTCAGGTCACTGCATGGTTCCCTCCTTTACCTTTTTCTGTTGTTCAGGACAACCTCCTTTTACTCGTATATGAAGCTTTCTCTACCATGTTACTTAAAATGGCAACTTGCCCCATTCCCATTTCTGTTTCTTGGTTTACTTCTTCATATAGCATTTCTCTATCTGACAAGCTTTATTTATTAATGGTGTCCCTCCAATAAACTATGAACTACATGAGGGCAGGGAATTTAGTGTTTTGTTTGTTGTGATATTCCCCAGCATAGAATAGTGCCTAGCATGTATTGACACTCAATAACATTTTCTTTGTGAATGAATGAATGAATTTATTAAGCACCTACATAGTAATCACTTGAAAAAAACCAAAGAATAAAATATGTAATAATTTTATTGGTGTGGTAGAATGTGCTTCCTATAGCATGCTAATATTCATTGTTCAAGTAGCTGAAAAAGGAATGAATAGCAGTCATTCAGCATGGAGTTTAAAGGTTAAGTAGACAAGGTGAACTTACAGTTTGTTAGTGTTTTAATGGAGGAAGTGAAACTTAGTTACATTTATAGGTAAAACTGAAAGATGCTTTTTAGGAACAGAATTCAGAGGAATCTCAGATAAGTTAGAAAAATTGTATCTCAAAATTTATAAAGAGACAAGGAAATTCAGGTAAAACAAGTGAAAGGGTAAAAAAATATAATGCTCTACTAAGTGAGTTACAGTATCTGGGTCAGAATTTTAGATTATCCACTGTAAGTCACCACATTTCTGTTTCTTTAGTGACTGCGTGTCAGGAGACCAGGCAAGTCCTAAATTTAGTACCCTTAGTACTTGTCATAGAGTGAGAAATTATGTATTGTCTCAGTGTTATGAAGTTCTCTCAGTTAACTCTCTTGGCTTAGAATAAGTGAAGTAATTTGCTTGCTTAATTGGATGGTATAGAAAGAATAAACGAAATATATAACTCAAAGAGGTAAATAAAATGAAGTTTGCTTCCGATTGACTTTCAGACTAACTTTGGGTTAAGGTGCTTGCTCTTCACAATTGGCTTTTCATTTAATGGATAGCAGTATAGAGATCCCAGCTATCCAGGGGCTATTACATGGTCTCTGTGGCCCTCTTGCCAAAGAGTAAAGGTGATTCTGAAGTTCTCTTTGAAGTCACTTTGTCCTAATCTCCTCCAGAGGGAGCTCAATGTCCAGCATTTTCAGGACCTGGAGCTAGTGTCAGCCCTGATCTAACAGGACTAGCCATTCAGTTCCCTGTTGGACCGAACTAGTGTATGAAGATGGGATCCTAATGAGGCAGTGCTTTTTGCTCTAAATCAGTGGTTTTTACTCCCTGAGATGAGAAATGTAATATAAATGCATGCTAGGATTTGGGTTTCCTCAGGTGAATGACTCCAAAGTCTTAGGACCTTTCAAACCAAGCCCTAGATTATTTATATACATTTCAGGCAGCATCTCTTGGGCATCTCTGAGTTATTTCTTTGTGGCTACTAATTATTACATTGAACAGTATTATTAAAATGTTTAAAGCATCTGCTGCCTCATGAAAAACCTTAAAAACCAGATTTATAATGGAATAATCTGCTATCAATAGACTTCCTTGGATTGTTGTTTGATAGATTTGAGTTTAGAAAATTGGTTCCTTTTAATTGCTGCCCTTTAAATAGAATATTTAGTGGTATCAGAATATTTATTGAAACTATACCTATAAATTTCTGGGGCTTTTTTCTTTTTAAAAATATTTGTTGAATGAACATTCAATTTTTATTAAAAGCCATGTGGTATGGGACTTCCTTGGCTATCCAGTGATTGAGATTTCTCCTTTCAATGGGGGGGGTGAGGTGGTTTGATCCCTGGTCAGGGAGCTGGGATCCCACATGTCTCGGGGCCAAAAAGCCAAAACGCCAAAACGTAAAACAGAAGCAATATTGTAACAAATTCAGTAAAGACTTTAAAAATGGTCCACATGAAAAAAAATCTTAAAAAAAAAGCCACATAGTATAACAGAGTCCAGATTATAATCGGATTGCTTAAATTAAAATCATGGCTTTTACCACTTCTTCACTGGGGAGTATGTGTGTGGTATTTTGTTGCCTCAGTTTTCCTCAGTTGGAAAATGGGGACAAGAATAGCTTATCTCTTAGAGATTTTGTGAGGACTTACTGAGATAAAGTTTAATACACACAGGACATAGTGAGTTTGTACTGTACTGATGAAATTTAGTTGTCTCCTTCAAAGATGCAGAATTATGGTTTTGTTTGTTTGGCCACGTCCACAGCTTGTGGGATCTTAGTTGCCCGACCAGGGATTGAACCCGGGCCACAGCAGTGAAAGCACAGAGTCCTAACCACTGGACCACCAGGGAATTCCCCAGAATTATGGTCTTTAATCTCACTTCTTTTGTCCAAGTTGTCCGAGTTTATCCTGACTTCATTCACTTTGGTAATAAATTAGGTCTACAGGTGCCCTTTATTGTTGTTGTACACTGCCTGTGAAATTCTGAGGGGATCTGTGCCTTGGTCTCTATTTGTTTAGATGTGAAGTTGGCATGGATGACAAATACATGTCTGCTTAGCATGTATAAAATGTTACATTACTTTTTAAAAAAAATAAATGTATTTATTTTTGGCTGTGTTGGGTCTTTGTTGCTGTGCTCAGGCTTTCTCTAGTTTTGGTGAGCGGGGGCTACTCTTTGTTGCAGTGCGTGGGCTTTTTGTGGTGGCTTCCCTTGTTGCAGAGCATGGGTTCTAGGCCTGCAGGCTTCAGTAGTTGTGGCTCGTGAGCTCTAGAGCGCAGGCTCAGTAGTTGTGGTGCACGGGCTTAGTTGCTCTGCGGCATGTGGGATCTTCCCGGACCAGGGCTGATGGGATTGCCATTACTTGGTTCTCTGTGGCTACCAAAAGTCATGCAGAGAAGTGGGAACGGCAGAGGCAGTGGCAGCTGAATTGGCAGTCAACCAGGTCAAGTTTTGAAATCTGTTGGGTAGATATTCATGTAATGATTAGGAGTCCTGGTTTCAATCCTTTGGCCATGTGGAGTTGTTGTAAGTGGAAGGGGTTACAACTGGTAGCTCAGTAGGTTGCTGCTATGTGACACTCATTTCCTTTCATTTGGAAGAAGGAACATAGAATATAGCCACAGTGATAGGAAGTACCCTGATGCATTTAACACCTTGAAGAATAAAATTAGACTACCGTTTTTTATTGTTTAATATAATACTATATATTATATATAATCAAATTTATATGTTTCACATCCTGCTTTATGATGCTAGTTACTTACCTCTTAATTTATATCATTGTACCTTTACATCCTATCATATAATTATGTACCTTGATATGTATGGAACAAATAATTTAAATTCAGAATGACCTTAGTAGTTTGAAGACTTGCTGAAGAATCAATGAATGTTGTTAAAAATGATCAGTAAGAATCTGAGGCATGGATGTCACAGGGCAAGCTTCTCAGAAGA